GCAAAAGGGTGAATCCACCCACACCACCACAGACCACTTCCTAAATGGCAGTTCTAGCCAATACCTAGATTTGGGTTAACACACAATTTATAAACTGGAGTGGAAATTGCTCCCTATATCCCTGACCATGGCAATAATTCCACCTCTGACAGAGGAGCTCTCTACACTGGGAAAGCACGTACCTCTTTCTTCATTGCTTCAGCAGATGTGTTAAAATGGGGCAAGAGATGCTATAAAGACTTTAACAGAATTTGGGATGTGAGTGGTTTTGCCGTTGCATGTGTAGCAGATCATGCATGTGAGGATGTGGCACATCCCACTAACCCAATATGGGGAAGGTAGAACAGTTAATGCCAAAATATATCATTTCACCAATCTCTGCTGAAAAATAGCCCCAGTTACACCAAAGAGTTGAGACTATGTTTCTAGCACTGCTCCAAAAATCTCAACCAACATTTACTTTTCATTGTTTCAGATTGCCACCTAATGGTGAGGAACAAGCTGGTTACTCCAGTGGGTCCGATTGCTTTCCTCCCTTTACGGCTGCTGGATGCTCGGGAACTCAACGGTCACAGAGCTCGAATTCCCCAAGACCAGCATCAGATACGCAGGTTTCTCCAAGAAGGAAACCTCTTCTTCCCCTTCTGAACAGCCCTTCTGCCAGCTCCACCACGCTAACAGGCTAATGCGTCAAGCTGCTCTACTTTTGCATTCCTGGTGTTCTTCTGGCATTAGAACTATTTTTTTATTTATGTTTTAATTATTTTTTTCACAGAATCAAACTGCATGACCTGGATCAGCACTAAGAGGCCTGGCTCACTAACCGCTTAGGACATTTTTATCCTAGAGCCTTATTCTTGCAGATTACTGAAGCTATTTACTTTAAAGTAACTACTTGCTTTATCTACCACAGTTCATAGAGCAATCTAAACAGAACAGTGGCAGGTTTGTTTCTGTTTCTTCCTCTTCCTTCTGATACAGATCAATGCAGTCAGTGCTCCTTCACTCAGTCCCAGCTTTCTCCCACCACTAGTGAAGAAACTATTTCCTGTAAGTTATTTCCTAATAGATTCTAATTCTCTCACTTTTCCTCCTTGAAATTTTTTTAGTTATTTCTTGGGCACCTCTGTGGAGGGGGAAAAAAAAACAGCCCTACAAACAAAAAACCTCCCCAAAAACCCCACCAAACAGTTCTCTTGATTTGACTGCCTTCTCCAATAAAACAAGCAATGTTACCCACACTCACTCCCCAAGGCACACCCATAGAAAACAGAGTTAAACTTTTGGCAACCCCCTATAGTGAGCCATCATATGCAAACAAGTAAAAAATGTTAATATAAAATACTCAGTGAAAATGTAACCAGCAATATCACAAAGCACACAATGTTTATCTGCACCATTTCCATCAGTTTGGACTCCCTTGTCTCTTAAGCAGAGGACAAGCCTATCTGCAGTTTTAGCTGAGAGCTTGCTCAGCCTGCTTCCACCACGACTTTTCCAGAAGCAGAAATCTTTCACCATCTGTTGATATTTTGTGTTGTTTCTGCACGGGCTAATCCACCTGCATTAAGCCATATACCTTACAGACAACCAGGATTTCTAGAATCCTCTTCTCCAGTTGTTCATTCTGCCATTTGCTTACCTGCACCCGCTGGCATCTCACAGGTTAACAGAAAACTGTTGCCAAATCTAGGACAGTCCATTTATGAGTCATTATTATTTTCATGCAAATTCCACATTTCAGGCAGCATTATCTATTAGCTCATTTTTTCATGGATGCAGAGTTTTTGCTATGTGTGACAATCCAGTATTCCTATGTTTAGAAAACTCTGACATGTATTTTTTTCTTCTCAGCAATGCAATAAAGAACCACCCAGATGGCAGCCACATCCTTAACCTTAATTTTCCAAAGAAAACAGCAACTAATCACTAGGTAAGAGTAGTAATCTTGAACTCCGTGGCACCACCCTTCACCTCATGCTTCCTTCAAGGAAAGATCCTCTCCAATGTAACTTGCCTTCCTTCAGCTGTGCGGTCACACTATGAACAGCAGCA